TAATGATGTTGATCATCTCTCCATGACCATTTATAAATCATCTTTGGAGAAATGTCTATTCAAGTCCTTTGTAGATTTTTTAATCAAGTTGTTTGGGTTTGTTGTGTTTTCTGTTTGTATGTTTTGGTACCAGGGGTTGAACTCAGGGGCACTCAACCACTGAGCCACATCCCCAGCCCTAGTTTGTATTTCATTTAGAGACAGGGTCTCACTGAGTTGCTAGTGCCTCGCCATTGCTGAGGCTGGCTGCGAACTCACAATCTTCCTGCCTCAGGCTCCTGAGCCACTGGGATTATAGGTTGTTTGGGTTTTGCTATTGATTTTTAAGAGTTCATCTTATAGTCTCTATAATGTTTCCTTATCAGAGAAGTAGTTTGCAAACATTTTCTCTCATTCTGTAGGTGGCCTTTTTACTTTGTTGATAATATCCTTTCATGCACCCAAGTTTATTGTTTTAATGAAGTCCAGTTAGTCCATTTTTTTCTTTTGTTGCCAATGCCTTCGGTACCATAGCCAAGAGATTACTGTCAAATCCAATGTCATAAATATTTTCCCCAGAGTCCATAATCTTTTATAAGATTATGGGAAACACTTTTAGATGTAGCAAGAAGATAATGAAAATCTTGGGAGGGTTTTACTGAATTGCTGCCAAGCCCATGTTTTAAAAAGTAATCAGTGTAGATTGAACAAAGTGATCCTTGTATATTGACTGAACTGCAACAGCCTTGATGAGAAAACAATATGAAAAAAGAAAAGCAACCCCTACTCAGCAGTAAGAGGAGGACAGCTTCTCCTTTCAACATCAACACTTAGATTCTTTCCTTTGTGGATCCAAGTTCCTTTATGTGATACTGGAACCAAAGGCAGAGGAGACCCACAAGTTCCATCTTGCTTAACTGAGTAATTCACTCCAAATGGATTTAATTATTGATGCATGTCCTTCATCAACACCTCCCTCCATCTCATCTCCACCCACAATGTGTTGAGTGGCTGTGAGCTCATGGAAGAGACAAACCATGACAAGCAGTTAGGAAAGATCAAGTTCAAAGAGGTCAGCAAGAAAACCAATTCCAGCCCTGTCAAGGTGCCTCAACCAAGATTTGCAAAGTGTCTCTCCAACTGCTGACCCTGGCCTTCCCTAAGCAAGAAAATGACATGGTTTGAGCAGCAGGTGAATCACCAGCACCATGGCCTCTCCCCAGCAGGCTCACTCATGTAGGAATTTGTATATCTGTCCTAAACACTCACCAGCACAGGCTTTGAGATAACCTGGTCTAGGGGAGAAGACTTAAGGCAGAAAATTATAATGAAAGTGACAATGAAACGTCAAAGTTGTACTGTCCAAAGACTGGCACTCATACCATCGGAGCCATCACCGCTGTGACGTCATGCAGTGCATGGGCAGGCAGGCCAGAATCAGCTGTGTCAAAGGGAGAGGAAGTTCAACCTCATATGACACCCAAACTGGCAACACAGGAAGCGCCCAGCACATGCTTGACACTGAGAATTCACAGTGGCTGCCCCTGTGGGGAGCCGTGTGTCTCTCATTGCCTCTCATCCCTTCAGGTTCCTCAAAGGCAGGAACCAGGTCTTCTTTGTCTTTAAGCCCCAGCACACAGTAGGTCCCAAATAAATATTTTCTCAATGGATAACCACAAAAATAATATTTAACTCTACGTATCATTTGTTTGTGAGTTCAAGGTGGAGAAAAATCCACAAAGAACTCTTTCCACAGGGCCCTTGCAGAGGTCGCCCAGCTTCCTCCTGGGCGCTGCACATCAGAACAGAACTTCACGGCCTTGCCACATCACGGAGTCTTCATGGGAGAGCTACCTTGAAAGTGTTTTGCATAAAAAATCACCCACAGATTTTAATTAAGTATTTTCCCCCCAATTCCTTATGGATTCATTAAACTGACAGCTTGGCAGCAGCATATTGACGCCTGTTTTCTATCCAACACAAACTGTACCAATGCCTCATGTTTACCTACCCTAGGAAGCAACTGTGTAAAAACAAAGAACTTCAAAAACAAAGAAAAGATGCTGGATTGAATCCTTTTGCTAAAAAAAAACAATAGTAAGTGTCTCCCACCCATCTTCCTTTCACTCTAATTGGGCATATTTGGAGTTGGGTTGTTTCCCTTGGTTCAAAGAGTTTAAATTGAGTGGCTTCTCTTTGCTGCTAAAGAAGGCTGTTCTTAGGTCAAAGTCACTCCACTGCTGGTACAGGAGAAGAGAAGGAGCTCACAGAACATGTAAATCAATGCACTACTTCCTTCTTCTGCTGTTAAAAAGCAGCAGCCACAGATACTCAATGAAACAAGTGTGTCTAGTGCTGAAGCTGATGTATGTCCTGGTGCGATCTTCTCACAGGCAACAAGGAGCTCAAAGATCAGTGCACCTGTGGATCACACTTTGAGAAACATTGTTCTAGGTTACAGGACTCCCCATCTACCTAAAGCCACGCTAGAGTGATATTTATAATGGACTTCAGCCCACCTCATATCCATGTCCCTTTTTTGTTGTTGTTATGGTGTCTCTATTGAGAATCTGCCACACCCTCTTCTTCGTCTATGGGATCCAGGTGGGGATCCTCTATGGCCAGGGCTAGTCAATCAGTGTTCCCAACCTCTCCACCACAGCAGTTGTTTCAGGAAACAAGATCCAGGGCCAGCCAATCAACATAATTCCATCCTCACAACTAGTTTTAAGATTAGGGATAGGCAATGGCTCTGACGGATTGAATCCAAGGGAAACCTGGAACTCATATAGGAACTACTAGTAAGACTGTCTCCAGTTCAGTTATAAGAAAGTAAGCCTAAGAGGGGACGGCCTGGCTGTGAAATGGGGCTAAGACAGAGAACAGAACTGAAAAACATTGAAAGAAGCTGTCACTGAACCTGAATCAAGCCACACTTCAGGTAGGTCTCTACCCTACAATTTTTATTTATACTGCTAAATTTCCTTGTTTAGACTAGTTTGTAAGCTTTCTAACACATGCAGTCAAAAGGATCTAAAGTTATGCATGACTGCTTTTACTTTGGGCTTATTCATTGGCACATGCCTGTAAACCCAGCTACTCAGAAGGCTGATGCAGGAGGACTGCAAGTTCGAGGCCAGCCTGGGCAACTTAGCAAGACCTTGTCTCAAAATTTAAAAAAAAAATAATAATGATGGGCCAGAGATATAATTCAATAGTAGAGCAAGCACCCCTGGGTTCAATCCCCAGTGCAGAAGTGGGAAAATCCTATGCATTGGTCCTAAAGACACAAATCTGGAACGACAAAAGGTGGGGAGCCAGAAGAGCTGCCACTACCTGGGACTAGAGGCAGGTTAGCAAGACTTTCCACACCAACATCTCTTCCTGTGTCAGCTAACTGGTATCTGCCTCGCCCACCACTTGTTTGGTGATTATGAGAATCACAGAAAAAGATACAAAGGAAATACTCTGGAAACCATGCAAAAGCACTCTATGAACAGAAAGTATTATGAGTACAATGCCTTTCTCATTCAACTTTCAAAATTCTGGCATCCATAATTATCTGGAGCCTAGGAAAAAGTTTTAAAAGCCTTTGAGCAACGATTTTTTTTTTCTACCAAATCCTCTCTCTGTTGTAGGAGAAGATATGCGCCCTCTGCTGGACAAAGGGTGTAAATCGAGGCAGCAGATACATAGGAGCCCCACAGGCCTGATGGAACCCAGACGGAAAAGTAGCTCCATGTTCTGGGCTGAGCACCAACATGCACTGCAGGTCAGTTCTTAGGCCGTCCCAGTAAGTTTCTCCCACTGTATGTATCATTCCATCTTCTCAAGCTTATGAATTAGGAAAGAAAAATGATGATTTAATTTCAAAATTACATTCTCCACTGCTATTTTGCAACATTGTTATCCAGTTAAGTGGATTTTGTTTACTTGTTTGTTTTTACTGTTATATCTGAAATCTCAGGGACTAATATAACAAACAAAATAAAAAGAATTATTTTGCAAAGTCATTTTTCTGAAAGTCAGAACACAGACATTTTCTGACACAAACGGCAAGCCAGGGGTGGTATTTGCCTTTAATCCCAACCACCTGAGAGGCTGAAGCAGGAGGATTGCAAAGTTGAGGCCAACCTGGGCAATTTAGAGACTGAATCAAAAATGTTTTTAAAAGGGTTGGGGTTGCAGCTTACTGAAAGAACAAGCCTGGGTTTAATCCTCAGTACCACAAAACAAACAAACAAACAAAAAATAGCAGGGTATTAAAAGGGAGCAGGAAGACTGGGGGTATGGCTCAGTGGCAGAACACTTGCCAGGCAAGCAGCCTTGGGGGTGGAGGCAGACATTAATGCCACTCCTGATTTTTATGCCACCTTCCATCAATGATGGTTTCTCTTTATGACAACTAAATTTTTGGAATTCTAAATAAGGGATCTGGAAGCAGTTCTGTTTTTCATAGTTCCTACATTTGAGGAGCTCAGTACTGGGGGGAGAGGGTGGGAAAACAGAACAGATCATTTATTTTACTAACATCCCCAAGTACTGGGTATCAACTCTGCACCAGGCATTTGTGTCCATGACCGAGGCCAGCATCCTCTGCACCATGTTACCAATAGGTAGGGTTCAAGTTCCTCAGAAGCAGGGAGCAGACTAAGCCCCCACCCCACCCTCCTTCCCCCATAGACAACCTAACTCAATCAAGTGGAGAGCTGGCCTCCACTGAAGGCTGTGGAAGCAAAGCCTGTTGCTTCTCTTCTGCTTTTCCCCTGAATGGCTCCATCCTTGCAAGATAAGCTGGCCCTTTCTGATTTTCAGATTATTTTCAATTCAGTGAAAGCAGGGGTAATGTCCCATGTTGGCTCAGACCCAAGACTTGTTCTCCAATCTAGCTTTACCATTACTAAAGCTGATGCTTTGCCCCCAACCCATGGATGAGATGGATGCCACATGCAGTATGTTAAAAGGCAAAGGCGAAGGGGAGAGAGGGGTCATCCCTCTCCAACCCAATCTCTAATACTTACCAGTCTGGACAAAGCCCTGGACCCAGCATAGATTATCCCCACAAACAGAATTGAAGCAGGAAGCCAAGTCAAAACATCAGATCTGAAAAGAGGAGGAAAAGCCACAATAATATCTTTGCTGCTTTATGTTAAAAAAAAAAAAAAAAAAAAAAAAGGTAGTTGGTGTCAGAGGCACCAATCCCAGCCACAGGGATTGTCTGAATATCCCCGATGGACTCCTTAAGTGAGATGTGGTCTTTATTCATTGTGTGAGCCACAGAGGCAGATGTCCTTTCTACAGCTCTGTTATTGTGCCAACTATCTAGCACTATTGACCCCACAGTTGGAAATGGGAGAGGGCTTGCTGCAGTCCAGGAAAGAAAACAAATCTGATTTTTTTTTTCAAGGCTGGTGATTTTAATTTGGTCAGTAAAATTATAAAAAGACTCTTTACCTAGGATATATCACACAGTTCCATGGAATCACAACAAAGAGGACCACTAAAATAAAAATAATGAATTTTTAAAAATAAATTCTAGAATTTCTACAAGGTGATCATAGTTGACTTCAACCATTAACCTGGCATTGCCGGAATTCTGTTTCAGGGAATCTTCAAGGACTTCTGAAGGGCGCATTTCTTTGATTCAATTGTGGACATACCAGGAACTGCTTTTTCATTACCGTGTGGAATCTTGTTCTCCTCAAGAAAAGCAAAATCCTCATTTTACATACAATGCATAACACTTAAGGTTGCAACCTGCTTCCCCCATCTGTTAGAAATGTGTCTGATGCACTAATTCAGGTTCCCAAAGTTATCCAAAAGAAACCGCATTTTCAGCCTCTGCTGCTGTAGTGTTACAGCAGACCCCAGCTGCCTTCCAGTGACTTCTCTCCAGGTTGTCTTGTCAACTGGAAGAATGAAAAACCACAGACAAGGACACATGAGTATAAAAGAGTAGGACTTATCAAAGTGAGAAGAAAATAGAGCTTCCCCAGGGAGAGACATAGCCCAACAGGGACAGTAGTTAAGTGTGCTAGTCTAGGGACTTACTGGGTAAGGGCACTAATCAATACTATGTTAATTGGGTATTGGAAAAGTACCAAAGCTATTGGTCAATATCTATGCTATCAGGTATTGAAAAAGTCTCAAGGCTAATTGGTCTATATCTAGGCTAATCAGGTATTGGAAAAGTTATATTGGTCAATATCTATGCTCATCAGGTACTGGGACAGTGTGACAGCTATTGGACCAGCCTGAAACATTCCAATTGGTTAGTCCTTGAGTCTGTAGCCTTCACTCCTATCTGTCCCACCTCCCTTTTTCTGCTGCCCCAGGACAAGGAGTTTGCAGATAAATTTGGAATGTTTCTACAGGTTGATTTCAAGGAACAACCTGTTCATTTAGAGAAGCCTCATTGGGGGCCCATTCCCCTATCTTCTTCATTAATAACGAATAAACAATGAATAAAATAAGTGATGCTGTTACCACATAGTATAACACAATAATCCCACAATAACCCCAACTCGGTGAACTGCTCTGCTGGAATGGTACCTGCTCAAGAGATGGGCTTCATTTTATGGGCAGGGGCAGGCACCCTATCCAAGACCAGATCTAGATCTGGCATTTCAATGCTTCCAGGTGCTAACAAGTACTTCAGACCTTACTCACTACATCAATTCACTCAACAATACTTACGGAAACTAACACAGTGCTGGGACTTGAATATGAGCAGCAGCCTCACAGTCAACCTTTAGTGACTGCTTGTGACAAACCAGGCACTGTGATAAATCACTTCTATGCTATATCTTTTAAAAATCTGCACAAAAATCCTATGAGGAAGTTGTTCTAGATGGTCCCTGACTTAAAACCTTTCAACTTTATGATGATGTCAAAGCATTGTGAGAAATAGAAAGTCTAGTGGTCCATTTTCAGAATATAGTGTTGAGTCTTAATCGGGAAATGAGATCTAAATTGGGATATGAGATCTAATCCTAGCCATTTGGAGATTCAGTTGTAACCATTTTAACTATCGCCCTGTCCTGTGCCCGCCCCAATTTTTAAAATAGCCAATTGCGTAGATTGTAACCCCAAGCTGCTCCTATCAGAGCAAGGGGCAGTGCAGCCTTAGGGATAAAAAACGGGCCTGCCGGGGCCAACGTGCTTGCTTGAGGCACACACCCTTCTGCAGATATAAAGCGGGCCTGGCTGAGCTACTCCAAGCATATTTTTGAGTCCTGGTGGCACCCCAGTATTTCTAACAGCAAGCTCATACATCTTTTCTGGTTTTCGTTTTGAATGTGCTATTCAATAAATTACATGTATATTTAACACTTTATTATTAATAAGTTTTGTCTCCACTGATTCTGCCCAACTGGAGGCTAAGTTAAGTGTTTTGAGCACGTTTAAGATAGACAAGGCTAAACTATAATGCTGAGCTGGTTAGATGTATTCAGTGCATTTTTTACAGTATTTCCAATTTACCATGGGGTTATCTAGGATATAACTGGGTTGTAAGTCAAGGTGCATCTGTATTATTACCCTATTGTGCCCAGAAGGAAACAGAGGCACAAAAACTTTAAAGGTATTTGCCTATGGTTAGAACAGCTGGTAAATGGCAAAGCCAGAATTTGAATCCAGGTCCATCTGGCTCTAAAGCCCCTTTCACACACTGCCTTCTGGAGGCTCATAGGTTATGGAGAAACACAGACATGTAAACAGATAAGCTGCAAACACAACAGAAATTTAGTAGCAGATAAAGCAGCTAATTATTTGACTCCCACTTGACATTAAGCTTGCATGGATCACAGGAGAAGGGACACAGGCCTGTGACCTGCTGTCCTTGGAAGGAGCCCCGGGCTATGGTGCAAGCAGAGTGTTGATGAGGAAGTCTGGGGTGCACCACGTGAAACGGCAGCTGGTCTGGCTGCAGCACACCCGGCACTGTGGAATGTAAGGTCAGTAGAGCCCCTGACATTTGTACTCGAAGTCCCCCTTAAAATAAACAAAGAAAACGCCTGCTGAGTCAAACCCTCCAAGAGACACCAGAGAATCTGAGGGGCTGTGGACGTGAGGAAAAGAAAGCAACCTAGGGAACATCTTGCAGTTTAACCCCTCTGCCCTGAAACACAAGGAAATAACTTCCACCAGAACAAACACACAGACTTCTGGGAAATGTGGGACCAGGCACAGGGCACTGGGGCTTGTGTTGACCACAATCCCCTCACTCACGGCCAACAGGGCAAAGCAGCATGCACTCGTGGGAGCACTGGGGCCACCTGTGGAAGAAGCCATTGGCTGTGGGCCCTTCCTTGGCCCTCCTGGGTGCTCACCAGTGTGAAGCTGCCTTCTTCCAACGCACGCCAACATAACCCCACAGCTGCATTCATAATAATAAATATGAGTGTCTGGGAAAATGGCTGCCAGAACAGGTGTGGGTAAGGCAAGTGTGAGAGGGTAGGAAAAAAGGGAAAAATAACTAAAAATCAAAGATTCTATATTTCTATGGTTTCAAAGTTCTCAGCTTTTTTTTTTTTTTTTTTTTTTTTTGTACTGGGGATTGAACTCGGGGCCACTCCACCACTGAGCCACATCCCAGCCCTGTTTTGTATTTTATTTAGAGTCAGGGTCTCACTGAGTTGCTTAGCACCTGGCTTTTGCTGAAGCTGGCTCTGCACTCTCCATCCTCCTGCCTCAGGCTCCCAAGTCACAGGTGTGTGCCACCATACAGCTTCTTGTTCAACTTTTTAAGAACATATCCCAAATGAAAAACAACAGAGTATAAGGTATAGTTAATACAACAAAAGACCTGAGAGAATACCAGTTAACAATCCATACATACATATTTATATTTATGTTTTAAGTCAAAATGAATAGATTGTTCTATCAAAGATAATTCCCTGATGTATTTGACTTTTGATTAACCCACTAATTGTCTATCTAATAGTCAGATAAAGGAACTTCTGCATATATTATTAATGTCTCCCCCAGCTCCCAATATAAGCCTTCCAATGATAGAAACTGTATGTCTTGCTTATATAAAATAACTAAAATATATCCTGAGGCAGGAGGATGTTACAAAAGAGACTAAAAGACTATGCTGTACCCTAATGACATCAGACCTCTTAAAGTCATTTCAAGTGACGTTTGAAATGAAAGCCAAAGTTAAATTGGGTACAGGGGTTGGGGGCTAGAGCAGTGCAAGGGACACGGCATTCTAGACATAAAAATGGCATGTGCAAAGGCCCTGTAACAACAGAAAAATTAGAGGAATACAAGCTTAGCTTGAGTAGAAGAAGGGATAAACCCAGGGGTGAAGAGAGTGTGACAGGATTCGACTTGAGTTTTGAAAAGGTTGCTCTGGCTACAGTATAGAGAATAGACTGGAATGACATTGGAGTAGTACGCTAAGGGAACCAAAATAGGCTTGACTGGGGGAAATCATGAGTTGTCTTGAAAATTATGATCATCTCACTCAGGGGATACAAAGATGTAAAGTAGACAACTGCTATAAGGTTCTGGGGAGCCTCCCTTGTTTTCTAATAATCCAAAATATACTATTAAATTTGTCTTAGAGTTGATGTTTCCTATATTCCCCAGTCTTCAATTTTGAGACTAAAATTCAAATATATTTTCTTCAAGTTCATTAGTAACAGCGGTAAGAGTTTCCTGTGGTTTGGAAAGGCTCTGTCACAAGCTTATTCTTCATTGCTGTGGTATGAATATCTTGACCTCCTCCAAATCCGTTTGTTGAAATCCTAACCCCTGAAGTGGGGTCTCCAGAAGGTGATTAGGTCATAAGGGCAGGGCCCTGATGAACAGGATTAGTGCCCTTATAAAAGAGACTTCATAAAGCTAGCTCCCTTGCCCCTCCCACCACTTGGTGACACAGCGGGAAGTCGTCATCAATGAACCAGGGAGTGGGTCAGCCCCAGATACCAACTCTGCCGCCACCTTGATCTTGGACTTCCCAGTCTCTAGATCTGTGAGTAATAAATTTCTGTTGTTTATAAGCCACTTAGTCCATGGTATTTTTTTATAGCAGCCCGAACAGACTAAGATATTCATTAACCATTTATTAAGCACATGTTATATTCCAGGATTCTAGTCATTAAAGGTACAGCTCTTTAAACAGTCCAAGGCCTTATTTTTATGAAATTTACAAGCAAGTGGGAAAGTCAGGCAATAAACAGACTGTAGCAGCCATGGCAAGAGAGAAAGGAGCTGGGCATGGTGGTGCCCGCCTGTAATCCCAGCAGCTCTGGAGGCTGAGGCGGGAGGATCTCGAGTTCAAAGCCAGCCTCAGCAAAAGCGAGACTAAGCAACTCAGTGAGACCCTGTCTCTAAAATACAAAATAGGGCTGGGGATTGTGGCTCAGTAGTTGAGTGCCCCTGATTTCAATCCCCAGTACCAAAAAAAAAAAAAAGACAGAAGGTGGGTGTATTAAGGAGAGAGACAGAATCTGCTGCAAGAGAGAGTTGGCCCACAGCTGTATTTACATAATTTGAAGAACTACTGACAGTTGTTGTTTCAAGAATAAGAATTTGGACCTCTGGCTTAAAGGGTTTCCATGACTGCTAAAGCATTATCCCACTCTAAGGGCTCAGGCTTGGTGCAAATAAAATTCATAACAACTA